GACAGAGAGAGAGAGAGAGAGAGAGAGAGAGAGAGAGAGAGAGAGAGAGAGAGAGAGAGAGAGAGAGAGAGAGGGAGGGTAGAGAATGAGAGAGAGAGAGAGTGTGTGCGTGTAACTCACTCTTTCTGTATTTCTGTATTTCTCTCTCTGTCTCTCTCCCTCTGTCTCTGTCTCTCTGTCTCTGTCTCTTTGTCTCTCTCTCTCTCTCTGTCTATCTATCTATCTATCTGTCTGTAATTTTAAGTGAGAGTGTGATCAATGTTATGGTTTGAGAAACATAGGTGCTGGAGTCGGGGAAAGGGGGGGTCTAGCTGTTCTTGTTTAACAAGACTGTTGCTCAAAAAAAGAAAAAAAGAAAAAAAAGAAGAAACAAGTGACACTTTCTGTGTTGTTGGGGGTCTTTTAAAGGAACATTTTAAGAAGATGCACGGAAACTCCACAATAAGAAGTCTTTCCCAACTGGCTCTCGAAACCAAGCCATGTGGCTATCGACCACACGAACACATGTATTGTTTTTGCCCATACAAGGGAGTTAAAAGAAAAGGTTCCTAACCACAGCAATTCTGCAAACTGGAAAGTTGTAATGTGACACAAAATTTATTTCACAATGAAAACTTAAACATTTTTGTAAATCGAGCAAACATAGAAGCGATGTGTGTTTGGATTTATCTATTTTTGGACTTCAGATTTCGATTCGGTTCTACAAATTACTTCTCAACAGATTTATGGCAGCTGTGCTATGTCGTTAGTCGTTACCACAAAGGGAAAATCTAATAAAAGCATTCCAACGTTATCCCGTAGGATTTGGTTACCATTGTTTCAGAGATTAGGTTTACAAGTCCTTACAATGACAATCCTTGTGAATATTGTCGAATCTTTCGCAAACGACCACCCATTGTCAAGTGATCATCTTAGACAGGCGGCCATCTTGTACAGTGTTATTATAATATAGAACAAACACAAGGGGGTTTGGAGGGGGGGGGGTGGTCATTTGTAAAATGCATTTGTCTTTGGCAAGTGGGCATTAGAGCAGGTAGGTTATTTTTGTTGTTCTTGTTGTTCTTGCTCTCGTTTTTGTTCTTCTTGTACTTCTTCTTGTTCTTCCCTTTCTTCTTGGTCTTGTTCTTCTTGTTCTTGTTCTTTTTGTTCTTGTTCTTCTTGTTCTTGTTCTTCTTATTCTTGTTCTTCTTGTTCTTGTTCTTTTTTCTTATTCTTGCTCTTTTTGTTCTTTTTGTTCTTTTTGTTCCTCTTGTTCTTCTTGTTTTCTTTTTCTTGTTCTTCTTGTTCTTCAAAATCAAAGGAAAAGATCTTTAATTTTAGAAGAGAAAAAAACCCACCTATCCCACCACATTGTAATTGAACAAAAAACAAGTGAAACCACGGATTCGTACAAAATATCTTGGTCTTACAATCGACAACAAATTTAAATGACAAAATCAAGTAAACAGTATCGTATAAATGGTAAATCAGAGGCTGTACTTTCTGCGGAAACTTAGGTCTTTCAATCTGAATTCATCCATCCATCAGATATTCTACACCACCACAATTGAAACTTTGATAAATTTTGGTATCTCTTGCTATGGTAGTAATCTGGGAAGACAGCACGTCATAAAAATAAGCCAGTTGAGCAGAAAGGCATCAAGAACAATAATTGGTAGAGACCTAAGTAGCTTTGAATAACTGTACAAAACAAACGTTCTAAATAGGCGGAAATAATCCTAAGTGACCTTAGAGACCCACTGACATCAGACTTTAAATTATCGACTCACACTAAACGATACATATTTCCAAAAAAAAAAGCAAGAACAGACAGACAGAACAAGTCTTAACAGATCAACAGTTTTGTAAAGACCTCTTTATAGCTTTATTTTAGAAAATTCCTTAATAAACACTAATAAAAAATCCTAGTGGGTGGTTTCTACTGATTTTAAAAGGTTTACAGCAGGGTCGATATCGCTTTTAAAAGCAAGTTCTTCTTTTTTTTTGGTAATCTCGAGATTATCTTTATTGAACGCATGCTTTGAGGACGTTTTGTGCAAAAAAGTGTTCACTAGAAAATTAATTTCTTGAGACTAGTTTTGCCACTAAAAAGTGTTATTGGTGAGCTGTGATGTAACCCACATGCGTATACAAAATGTGTGTGAGAAGCGGCGAGTGCTGTGAACAATTCTATTTCCGCGTGAAGGCGGTTTCTAGTATTTTATGTAAATTTATGAAGAACGGTTTTTTAATCTAGCCTCAATTGTTGTGGAAAAATATGATTAAGTTAAGACAAATTGAGACAAACTTTTGTGCAAAGTATGGGTGACATTGATTCACCCAATAAAAAGATATCGGAGGATAAGTTGCGCCACGAAGTTTTGACCGCACTATAATGTCCTGTCTTGTTGTGCGTATTCGTGAGTGCACCTAACCTTTTTAACATCTACTACATGTATTGTAAACGACCAAGAACAATTTCTCACTGCGGGATGAATTGTCATTGTCATTGTCACTGTCACTGTCACTGTCACTGTCATTGTCATTGTCATTGTCATTGTCATTGTCATTGTCACTGTCATTGTCATTGTCATTGTCATTGTCATTGTCATTGTCATTGTCATTGTCATTGTCATTGTCATTGTCATTGTCATTGTCATTGTCACTGTCATTGTCTTTGTCACTGTCATTGTCATTGTCATTCTTGCTCTTCTTGTTCTTGTTCGTTGTTCTTGTTGTTCTTGCTCTTGATTTTCTTTGTGTTCTTGATTTGTTGGTGTTTTGTATTTGTTCTTGTTTTTGTTGTTATTTTTGTTTTGTTCTTTTTTGTTGTTGTTCTTGGTCTCGTTCTTGTTGTTTTGTACTTCTTGTTCTTGTTCTTTTTATTATTATTATTATTATTATTA